GACACGATTTGGTAGCCGAGGTCTGTGACGTCAGCCGGGCGTGAAGTTTTCCCTTCACCATAGGCTTCACACACAAACCGGCCGAAGTTCATGCCAGGATAGCCCGGCTTGAAAGTGCAAAAATGATTAAATTTTGCCCTCAATAGATTCATTGCTTCGTTTTATAACTAAAAACGTCCGTTATTAGGACTCAATGAAGGTAAAAAGTACTTAAAATCGAAGTTCAAGAAGATGCTGTCCGAGCACAATCTGGTAACATCACGTGACCTCTTTTAAGCAGAATGTATATAGTTCAAGGATGTTATTACACGATTGCTGCCTAAAACATCATAAATAATACGCTTGTAACATTTATTGCTTCTGTTTAAGTCATAACATTGCAAAACGCAAAGTTTATCATGGAAGTCACGTGACCAAAGGTATAGCAGGGGTTGGGACAAGCACTCAAAGGATTTCAAGTTTTTTAATTAAATTATATAAGTTTCATGATGAAATTGAAAGAATGTATTTTTTCCTAATGAAATACAAATTTCCGTATGTAAAATATTTTCCTTATGGGCGAAATTCTCCATATAAGAAATGTCAGTGACGTCACCAGGGCTTTACTGGGCTTTACTCAAAACATCGGACCTACCTGTTTCTTATAGGTATCTTGAATGAAACATTCCGGCCCAAGTGTGATATTTATTTTAGCATATGCCGTTTAATTTCCATATTTAAGCTTCTTTAACAATTGTACATGCTTGAAAGAAGTGAAAAAACCCAGAACGAATATCAAGAACTAAAAAATGTACATATTCCCTGACCTTAAGATAATAAACCAAGCCGACTCAAGATCACTGTGTTCCATCCTTGTGTCTGGCTCTGAGTTGGATTCATATCAAACCAAGAACATCTATTTCAATCTATGCCATATGAGAAGCTAGAGTAACGTTCGTTTTCAATATTAGAGAAGAGTGGAAGGTATACCATCCTGTGAAGTGAGCGCTTGATTTTTTACCCATGTCAGTATGAATAAAGTTTTTACTGATCAATGTGAAATGCGTTTTTTGTCAATTCATTGCAGTTGTAAAAGGCATGAAATTGACGCCATAAATGTAGGTGATTAATTAATATGTCTGTACATTAGGATTTAAAATATTATCTTATTGAAAACCAACATTTACAATCTGTTCAATAGTTCACAGCGACCAAATGCAACACGTAAGTTCACGTTAAGGCCTGGCTACACTATGCGTTTTCTTCGTGCGTTTTTTGCGTGTTTGCGTGTTTTGCGTGATATCGTTCTAGAAAAAAGAACGATATTACGCGTTTGTGATGCTTTTCACCTTAAATTTTAGTTACATAAGAGTCATATTAGCTTTTGTATATAACCAAAGTAAAAATTATATTGTTTATAACTTTTTCCTAGAACGATATTACGCAAAACACGCAAACCTGCAAAAACGCACGCAGAAAACGCATAGTGTAGCCATGGATGATATAACACTGGATTGGTGTCTCGTGGAAATTAAAGGAAATAGTTCACTTTCACGAAATTATTTTTTTTGCAACGATTTATGATTTTTTATGTTCAAAATAATCAGCAAAGAAAATAAAACCTTTTTATAACAAAAGATTTTTTTTCTATATTTTGATATAGGAAGAACTTTTCAGTTTCTGTAAGGCACACGCGATCCAGTATGAAAAGAGCATGGGTCCCGAAAATTCTTCAGAAACAGAGAAATTATCGCAGCCACCGGCATTTGGGCGATCTGCTCGATCTGATAATGTTCCCCTGAATGTCCTAATTGATCAGTACGAGAATTTCTCTAGAGTTCTCGTAGATAATTTCTCTAGTTTCTGAAGAATTTTCGGGACCCATGCTCTTTTCATACTGGATGGAAATATATGCAAGGCACACATCCTCAACGCAAGACACTTTTTCGGGACGAGAAATAGAATATCTTTGCCTAGGGTGATCGTTGGGCTGTAAAAGCTCCTGATTTATGCTCGTCTCAGCCTAAGCTACGGAACTGCTATTCCAGTTCAAAACCCATGTTAAAAAGTGAACTATTTCCTTTTTAACATTGGGATCCGCGACATTGGGATCAGGCCTGCCATCTAGCGAGAGAATTATCGTAAGTTAGGAGCAAGCCGAGTGAATGCCATCTCTCAGCATTATGACACACGTGGGTGTAGTGTGTTAGTTGGCTTGAAGTGCATATTCCCACGAGTTGGAGGTAATCTTACTGGACCTGAGACGACAAAAAATATCTGAAATGCTTGAAAGCCAAAAACGTCAAGCAGCCTTTAGGTAATGACGAAAATAAAATGCGTAAGACGGTGTGTACCTATTGAAACGCTCAGTCCGATCGGCTTGTACGACCTTTTATATGGTCATTTACTCACAATGTACAGCAGTTTGACAATATGTCATACATATTTGGCAGACTTATTTCTTCTTCCCCGAATTTCGCTCCATTTTCTTCATCTTAGTTAATGTTACGGCACGTGCCACGTGCCAACTTAGGGGTGTCGAAATCGTTCCACATAAAGTAACTCCGCAATGGCTGGGCCCATTACAGTAAAACTTCGTCAATAGTTAAGCGCCCAGTGGCCCATGCATTTCCATGTGTCACTATGGTGGTGCTACTGCACGTGCGCACGTGCGGGGTGCCGCTTCCATATCTCAAGAACGGCTGGGCGGATAACACTCAAACTGGGTACACAAATGTCACATCGATGCTCGCACTGCATTGATCAGTGCTTACACTGGTGCAGAGTCATTAGGAAAACGAGGAAATGAGATGCGTGGTGCTTATGCCTTTCTGTTCCTGCAGGCAGCAGCTGATTGATCCTCAACAGGAGATCCCTGTTTGTGAAGGCGTCGTCTCCCTTTTCCATTCCTTGTTTAAAATAACATAACAATGTACGAAGAAGATCACACATCAAAGTTGTTTTAGGCGGCTATCTTGGGCCAGGGCTGCGGAGTTGTAGTCAGAGCCAGCGGTTCTGTTCCGACTCGGAGTCTGTTGATTTTTAAGAGCTGTAGTCTGAGTAGGTATGAGTCGAACGTCACCGAAACGTCATATCGACTCCACAGACTTACCAGGGCTGCAGAGTCGGAGTCAGAGTCGGAGTCTGTGTGAATTGCCAGTTCTGCCCGGAGGAGTCGGAGTCGATATTTGAATACCGGAATCGGAGTTGGAGCCAAAGTCACTGAAATTTCATCGACTACGCAGCACTGGTTGGGTCCTTTTCATAGAGCGTCTTGAATGACATATTGAGCGGCAATGACGTTAGCAATTCCGTTTAACTTTTTCATTAGACTTGTAGATAGTACTTTAACGTTCGTTTTGTTCTTTGATCGGACAATTTGTTTGATTTAGGCCAAGTAAAGACTCGTGTGAAAAATAGCGAAAACGACACGTGCTGGCGAAGTCTCCAATAACTCCCTGTTTTACGATTTCATGAGGAAATAACATGGAACTGCTTATCTTATTACTGACCCTGCACATAAATCTATTAATTTCTTCGCTTTTACTGACATATGAAGACATAACCTTTTGAAAAATTGCACAACAAGCCTGCTACTACACCACACTCCCGTGTGTCACAATGCTAATCAGCGGCGTTCACTCGGCTTGCTCCTAACTTACGACAATTCTCCCGCTAGATGGCAGGCCTGAGCTCAATGTCGCCAAAAACTGCGAAGACACCAATCCATTATTATCTTATCCATGGTGTAGCCAGGCCTTTAGATTTCTATCAGTTAAGCTCTTTTCCAGCGCCTTCCTCCGTCTCAGGAAATGCTTCAAAAGTTCGCTGATAAAATGTTTTGCCCATGGGCCGAAACCTTTGGCCAATTGCCTTCAACATTATGCGGTTTAATCCAAAAAGCTTTTACCGCACGCTCGCGCTAATGCTAAAGGCATACTTCGGCATATGCTAAAGTACAAACCCTAAATAAATTTTGGAAAACTGCACCCACGGCATAGACATTAGAAACGGCTTTGTACCTACTGTTTGACTCGCCACTTGCTCAGATGATTCCAAAGTCCAAAGTTTTCGAAACGACCCCTACTAATTTTTATCCGTAAAGCAAGGCTTCGGAGTCGGAATCAGAGTCTGATTCACCCGGAGTTGTGGCAACGATCCAGGAGCCGGAGAACGAGTCAGAGTTGGAGCCGACCGGACGCCGGAGTCAGAGTCGGAATGAGCTACCACGACACTAAAACCCTGCACTATATGTAAAGCACAAAAAGAGTATGAATGCATTATGTGGCCTGTCGCTTCCATCCGTTCTATTTCATGGCATCATAAGGTCTGGGAGCGCCCACTAAGCGACGTCTTGCGGCACAGCATACCTATCGAGGCGGCCGCTGACTGATAGCTCATTGCGGTACAGCATATCTGCCAGGCGTTCAAGGCAGCGCCATCTGTGATCAGCAATGTAAACAGACATCCGCCGGGTAAGGCTTGCGAATTATAATTGTTTTCTTTGGAGGGAGGGGGAGGAAGGGGGTGGGCTGAAAAATGCACCTACATCCAATTAAGACAATGCTTCGCTCATTATTACACACGGGACGATGGCGGAAGCATTATACCGATCGTTCGCACAACGGCGCGGACAGTGGATACCTATTACAATGGACATCCTGATCCATCACTCACTTCCCCACAATCCAAACTCGCCTGTAACGGAGTAACGTCCTCCTCCCACACTCGTAACACTCCTGCTACGGAAGTGATAACTGCTTTGTCCTCGTATAGTCTCCGTCACGGAGAAATGCCCCCCCCCCCCCATTCCAAACTGACCTGTTGCGGGATGTTGCCCCGGTCCCCCGGTCCAAACTAACCTGTTGCGGAGCGACATCCCCGCTCACCTGGCCCCCAAAGTGACCTGTTGGGGCGTGGTGCCCTGGTCCCCCTCCAAACTGACCTGCTGGGGCGTGATGCCCTGGTCCTCCACTCCAAACTGACCTGATGTACGGTGATGCCCCCCCCTCCCAACTGACCTGCTGGGGCGTGATGCCCTGGTCGCGCGGCAGTCGGACCGATCCGTCTGTGAGTGACAGCGGTACGACCAGGTCGCGCAGCGACTCCTCCGCCTGGTCGCGTGACGTCTGCTGCAGCAGCTGCTGCCGGCGCGGCAGCTGCGCAAAGTTCTCGAAGAAGCCGTTGTCCACATCCTGCACCCTGACACAGACGACGACGGTGGGTTAGCGCCTGGCGGTCAAAAGCTGATCGTTCCATGTGCTATTTCGCAGTTGTAAGATAGAGGGCCCGGGCCCCGGGGACGTGATAAAAAAGTGAAAGTACCCGGAGATGGTCCGATGGATAGGCCCCTTTTCCTTGCCATCTGAAGATGACTGCTGAAGTGCTGAGTTTCAGTTAAATAGGCCGATTACAATTAAATGCTAAATCTATGACAGATTGACAGTAGTTGACTTGAAACACATTTGACATGGGCGTTAAAATGCTTACACCTACGCTTCGTCGGCCGTTCAAAGTACGACAAAACATCACGCATACGAGACTAAACGTATGGAGCAATCTGAAGCAGAAGTGCACAAAACCAACGCACAAGACAACAATCGTGCAGGAAGCGGCTGCATGCCCAAAATGTCTTATGTCAATTGCCAGACGAGGGCGATAGCTGCATGTTAAGAATCCAAACTAGTTATTGATCGCAAACTAACAACCACAGCCCACAGCCCGTGGGGATAGTGCCTGTTTCTCTTAAGGAAAAGTCATACGATGGAACGATAAATGATTTTATCGATATTACCAAGCATGTCCAATAATTGATGGACATTGATGGACATTGCCCATCACTCCAAAGCAAGTCGTGGGCATTATAATTGAATTCAAAATAAATAGCACTTTGAAACGGAACTCTCCGTCCTTTCAGAAACTCACCACCTGAACCCCGTCTCACTCCTGTAAGCGACTGAGCGCTGCACCATGTTCGACACTAACCACTTCCCGACTAGGCCAGTGAGTCGTGTCTGTTGCTCCAGCCCTCAGTTTGAGTAACATCAGCTGGATTCGGTTCGACACCACAGCTGCTATCGATACCTCTGCACGGTACCATCCACACCTTGCCGAGGCTCTCCAGCCGGCCGGCGGCCCCATCGGAGCCGTCTGTCGACACGGAGCGTCGTTCGTGGGTGCAATTTGTGATACCTGATCTGACCCAGATTCACTCTGTTCCGGTATACAAAGCACGACAGCCCGGCCCGCTGACGATCCGGGAATGCTAACAGAGAGTAGGGGAAGGGGAGGGGCACACTGCACACGCAGACGGAAACCCAAGCCATCCAGCTCCATCCAGCTCGATGTGTAAACCTGATCATGACAGGTGTGGTGTGGAGGGAAACGGTCGCAGGTGAGACTAAGACAAGGAAATTCGGTCACAGCTCAGACGAAACGTGTTCGCAATTATCGATCGCAACCGAGTGAGGAAAACAGAGGCGATTGACGACGGCGACCCAGAGCCGTGTACCTATCAGTCTTTCTGGAAAACAACTTGTTTATTTGGAAATTGTAAAACAATTTAAAGACGTATGTTGCCAAGTAGTATGCAACAATGAGATCAAACCAGCCTTTGTTGCATTTGGAGACCTTTTCAGCGACATGCCAGTAAGCACCATAACGAACTTCCTTTCAATCTCCATGAAAGTACCACCTCTATACCCTGAACGGGCCATTGCGGCAATAGGAAGCCAATGGCATTACCTGCAGTCGCCCAACACCCTGAGTTGCTCCAGCGATAACGCCCTCCCGACGTGCCCCGATCACGACCTCACGACCGCTGTGTGTTTGGCCGCGCTCGGAATGTTGCTGGCGCCCCACCGGGCACGTCTATCACACGTGGCACGTGCGACGTGCGACCAGCCGAGCCGCCGCCGGTCCGACCCGACCTGACATAATGTCCGGAAATGCCAAGCGTCGCCCGCCGCCGCCGCCCCCCCCCCCCCCTCGCCCCTTACCGACTGCCATCGCCATCCCTCAGCATGGCGAATGAAACAGACAGATACTCGTAACTGGGACTGACGCTTGGTACGCTGCACTAGCATTTTTGTGGCGAATGGTATGGAGGGAAATCACAGACACTTGGAATAGTTACATAAGGGAGATGGATAAAACCGAACCGTGACTCCCTCGCCGTTAACCCCGGAGGACGCAGCAGCAGTCGCACCGAGTCGTGACCGGCCGTGTGGTCTCGTAAATCCCACCATGCCTGCAGTGGAACCGGAAAACATCCTCGCGGTCATCGCGGGGGCGGTCGTTTTATAACGGACACAGGTAACGGGACTAGAGAGCGAGTGGCGACGCACTGAGTGCACCACGTGAAACAAAGTGTAGTGCAAGCACCATGCCGATCGCTCTCGGCCCTAAAATTGGCAATGAGCCGATAATATGGATGACGCATGACCTGTGATTTGAAATGAAAGGAACCGTGCCGCCACATGTAACGCTATGCTAACTGGAACACCAGGGCCTCGTTTCATAAAGCGAGTCCGTAACTTACGGCGGTTTTTGGTCTTGTATTGCAAGCGCATGTGAAGCGATGACGATAGTTTGAATCGTTGAATTTATTTATCTTGCAAGCAATGTTCTTGCAAGCAAGAACAGAAGGGAGAAGGGGAAATAAATTTATCGCTTCACGCGCTTGCAATACAAGCCCAAAAAACGACGTAAGTTACTGACTCGCTTTATGAAACGAGGCCCAGGACCCACGGGAAGGTGATACCCCGATTGGAGCGATTCTGAGTAATGTGATCCCCTCGACACGTCACGGGCGCCCGGCGATGAACAGGGGCGGATTTGGTGACTCACTTCCCCGCTGTGCCCCGTGTTATCACCGACCCATGCACGGTGCACGGAACGTTGCACAGTGCACGGGACACTCCAGTGTTTACACAGTAGTGAAAAGTTCTGACGGAGCAGACATGTTTCATATGACAGGCGAATCCGTCATCGGATGTGCAAGATACACAGCTTAGCAGCGATTTGTCATAATGATGAACATGTAAATTGCTGCTTTGTTTCGTCGTCGACGGGAGTCGTCGGGCTACAGAGCATAGCATTACAGTAGGTACAGAGCAGAGCAGAGCAGAGCAGAGCAGAGCAGAGCAGAGCAGAGCAGAGCAGAGCAGAGAGCAGGGAGAGGAAAGGAGAGAGAGCAGAGCCGAAGAGAAGAGAGAAATGAAGAGAAGTGGAGAAAAGAACGGGGAGGAGATGACTGAGGATAGGAACGAAAAGAGGAGCAGAAGAAGGAGACAGAAAGGGATGGAGGAACGGAGGGATGCGACTGCTCCAACAACCAGACACCGATATGTATCTACCTACTATGCACGCACACGCGGCAGCAACAGCGTCCGCTCGGCCGCCACGGTCTGTGCCCACCCCACACCTCCCGTACGGCAGAACGGACCGAGTGGAGACCACGCCCTGTGCGGACCATTGGTCACGCGGCACCGGAACGGCACAGCGGACGACGTTGGCACAGCGCACGGCCGATGTGTCCCACCGGTAAGCACGCAGTGTGTGGGGGGGGGGGGGGGAGGGGGGCTCTACCACACAGCCGGTGGACGCCACCGGCACACCAGCTCACACAGTGAGCTACGAGTTGCACACAGCTCACACAGTCAGTGTGTACTGTGTGGACAGGCCGGCTCCCGCCACAGAGCCAGTACAGGCTGGAGCACAGACCTGACCGGCCAGCAGCCGTAAACAGCTGCCAGTCGCAAACCAATCCAAAAAGGCGGCATTATTGGATACTACTGGGGCAAACCATCCCCATAAAACCCCGTATTTCCAAAACGCCAAAAGTTCTTTTTTATCTTAGCTATGAAACTGAAAGATACTTTGTTGACGATAACAAATTTGCTGTCTCATTACTAAAAAAACGGCGAATTTTCATCGCCTCAAACTGTGCGAGGGAAATGAGGGGCAGCTGGCTCAAACATGCCCCTTGGACGTGATATCGCTGCCGGTGGACCAGCAACAAACAGTGACCGCCCTGTCTGACCGTGGCCCTAGGGCGGCCGCCGTCCGCAGGTGACAAATAAACAGGGGCGGTGCCGCCCCCCCCGGCCCGCTGACTTCCGGGCCGGAGGGTACCGTGGTGGGTGAGGTCGGACATGGCGATTGGCGGGACAAAGTCTGTCGAGAGACCAAATGTTGTGGGACCCCAGCGAGCAGCACGACGTAGAAGGTTCGGTCATGACAATAATGAAACAACAGAAAGCGCATTCACGTAAGCAGTGCCGACGCATCAAGGACATCCTCCATTCTGCATGTTTCCATTGATCATATCGGAGCGCAGATTCTCATTGACTTCATCAAGTCTATAAGGGACAAACCGAGCATAACCGGATCCAGCCGGTTAAAGGCGGTCCTTTCAAACTCCGTCACTGATCTCCACGGCGACAAATGGATGGACAGCCGGAGCGCTGATTGGGGTCAATCAGCGGGTCTGCGCGGACAAGGTCGCCAGTTCGGGGGTGTCACCGTCTCCAGAGCGCAGAGCTGTCAGCGGAAGGTCCCCTGGCGCCGGGCCAGGCTCCCAGCCGGGGTCACCGGGAGGGGATGGCGGGTACGACCACCACCGAGGTGACAGAGGCAGTTCGTAAACAGGGCCGGGGCCTCGGGGTGACACCGGCGGACCACCCGCGAAACAAGGTCATACAGAGGCTGGTATACGCCAGACCGACCAACAACTTCACTACCGACCAGTTCATTTCACAAAAATAAATGAGCATTGAGTGACGCATCAGCTTGACAAATGACAGCGAAAACGCAAAGTGTTATTTGGCAGCGTTAGCTGATACTCGTTATTCAGATTTGAAACGGTTCGGTTGTCGTTGGCCGACTAGCCAAGGATATGGAACGGAACGACGCCAACTAAGTCAGCCGCACTCCCTCAATTAACTGTGGAGATAAATGGGCCGGTAGAACTGTGGCCTGAGCAGTGCTTACCAGCTAACCTACATCTGTCAGCAGTTCATGCTACGACGCATAATTTGATAACGAGACGCGAAAAGTGACGTGTGACGAATGAAGTCATGCAGCAATTAGCAAGACGCGCACTCGTTAGATATGTTATCCCGACTATGTGTAATCATCCTAGGATGCCCCAAATGTCTCAAATGTGTTGAAAAACTGGGCTGGAGACGAAGCTAAGGACACTAAACATCAAAAGCAGGGATTTACCACTGGTATCACGGCTACGACTCGGAAGAGCACGTAGGCAAGCAGGAGTGGGGAGGGCGACGGGACGGCACGAGGACGCGCCCCCGGTCCAGTCCCAGATGAACCGGTGACCATTCAGAGCCAGCTGTCGCCCCCTTCACACCACACTGCTCTCCAACCAAAGCGGCACATCACGGGACAAGGGACGGGCACAGGCAGCCTCTCTGCGGACTGGACAGGGCGGCCGGCAGGCGGCCGGGGAAGGGTTACCCCTGTTTGTAATAGGAGCCCACGGAGACGGCATGGCCGATCTCGAGCAGTTCGTTGGCCGCCGAGCCGGCGCCGTCGAGCGGCTCGATCCACGGCTGGCCGTCGCCGATCTGATCGAGCGCAGACTCCCGGCCCAGCGTGGACGAGTAGCTGGCCACCCTGCAGACAGGGGCGCACCTCAGAGACGCCGCGGGGGCGCACCGCGCCGGCGGACCGCTCATCCGCCGCTGGCTGCAGCTCGCGTCAGTCTGCGCGCGGCGCGCTGGAGTACTTACTCTGGGTTGCGGATGCTCGACTGAAACGCCTCCCTGAACACGCTGGTTCGGTTGGTGGGCGGTGTGAGACGCGGCCGCTTTCGGCGGCGCAGCGTGCGCGGCGGCGGCGTGGGCCCTCCGTCCACCGAGGCGGCGCGTACCGTGCTCGTGCCGCTCGTCCACGACTCGGTCGGCGACAAGAGCCGCTCGGAGGCCGCCCGCGGCTTCGGCGGTAGCGTGTAGAACACGGAGGCACCGAGAGCGCGCGGCGCCTCCGGACTGCCCGCAGAGTCGTAACCGGAGCTCTTCGGCGACGAGAAGTCGTCACTGATGTCGCCCGTCTCGCGGCGAAACGCGCTCGGCGTCGACGCGTCCGAGACATCACTGAGAGCGCGCAGCGAGGGCGGCCCTGTCGAGGGCGCCGGAGAGCCGGCGATGACCTGTGGGGAGCGCGAGCGGGGCGGCTTTAGCGGCGCCCCAGGCCGGCCGCCCCCGCCCGCCACCCGACCCGCCGAATAGTCATAGCTGTTCGCGGCGGGCACTGGCAGTGCGGCCATTGACTTTGGCAGCGGTTTGAGCGCGGCGGACGCCTGTGGTGGCGGCGGCGGCGGTGTTGTTGGGTGCACCGGCTCCCGGCCGGGGACGCTGCGTCGGACTCCTTTGGCCGGCGGCACCCTGTGGGGACTGCTGGCCGGCGAGGGCTGCTTCTCCTCCTGCAGCGTCGGCAGCGGCGGGTGCAGCGACGACACCGACGAGGCGCGCGACGGCGAGGTGCGCGGCGGCGGCGGGCGCGGCGGCGGCGCCTTGCGGCCGCGCATGGGGCGCACCACCTCCACGGGCCGGGCGGCCGGCAGGCTGAGCTCGGGCTGCGGCCGGCCGATGGCGCGCGCCCGCTCCATGGCGCGCAGTCTGGCCAGCACCTCGTCCCCCGAGTCGAGCGACACCTCTGATCGGCAGCGGCGCCTCTCCGACAGCAGGATGTTCTCGTAGCTCTCGGGCCGCCGGAACCGGAACGTGGCCGACGTCTCCACTGACGTGGTGGAGTAGCCCGGCTGGAGGACGGCCGGCGCCGGCTCCGGCTGACTCAGATCCACGGTGGAGACGCTCAGCGCCGCCGGCAGAGGCGCCGGCCGGTCGCCGGGCGACCGCCGGCCCGCCGGCAGCGACGCCGAGCGAGGTCGCCGCTTGTTGGGTCGCACGCGGTCTATTTTGGCCAGCAGCGCCTCCCGAGCTCTGCCAAAGAGGACGGACTTTGAGCGGGGTCGCAAGGGGTCGGGCCGCGTTGGCACGGCCGGGGGATGCCGCGTCCAACAGGCGAGCGCCGGGAAAACAGCACACAGTGGCGGCCGGGCAGCGGGGAGGTCAGACGGCCACAGGGACCGGCGGGTGCAGTGTTCATCCAGCAGGCTGCACAGACACAGATATGTACATCCAAATATGTGTGTTGTATACGTGTGGAACACATACTAAATGCGTAGATACATGCACTGGCGGGCACAGACACACAACAGACCGGGGGGGGACTGGGGATAAACAGCCAGGCAGTGGGGTCTGAACAGCGACTCAATGGACTGTATCCGCCCGTCTCACGGCCACGTCAAACCGTGGCGGACCAGGCAGCGCCAGGAATGTAGCGAGCCTGAGCGGTTTCCATAGCAACCGGGAACTCTGATTCGCCACAATCGATAACATGAGACTGACGGTATACAGTTGGGGAACAGACGCCGCCGTGTGGCCGTCCCTGTCTGCCGAGTGCACGATCGGTAAGCGAGCGAGCGGCGGGGCGTGCAAATTGAATCACGGCGCGGTTTACATACCCCACCGGTTCCTCTCTGTTCGGACGGGCGAGACGGACAGATCAGTGTCAGCGGGAGCGGGGGGTGACACACGTGACACGGGACACACGGCACACGGTGGCACACGAAACAGGGACACATAGGCTCACGGGACAGCGACAGAAGGCACGGCGGGCACAGTACTACACGGCACAACACGGCGACACAAAGACGTGATACAGTGACACACGGCACAGCGACACACGGAACAGAGGAACAGCGGCACACGACACAATCACACGGAGGCACATGAAACGCCGGCACATGGGTGCGTGTCGTGAACACTGAACGCGCCCCTCCCTACCTGGACCATCGATTAACAGGGGTACACTACGGGGAGACACATCGATTCTCGATAATCACAAGCCACGTGAGTTGGAAGGCATGAGGATTTGTGCAGGCCACAGTTCTAAACACTGAAAACAGAGCCGCTTGGCTCGTAGTAGAGCGTAAACAATCCCAACAACGAGTCACCTTACCTTCTCATACAGCCGGCACAGGCATCGGGTAGCGCACAGGTATACCTGAAAGTGTTTATCTCAGCCCGCGGACACCTCCCCCTTCCCTCACACAGACAGGTGGTCACGTTACGAGCCGACACTGCAGAGACAGGTGGCTGAAACACCGCACTGAGGACCCACACCTGGACCGCACAGACTCACAGACAGACGGACAGGTGCAGTGCTGATCCCGGGCTCTCACCTGCTTAGTCGCTGCTCGATGTTGGAGGCGCACACGCCGGCCGGCCGCGCGAGCAGCGGCCGCACGCGGGAGGCGCGCAGCGCCGGCAGCTGCAGCCTCCTCCGCAGCCGGTCCATACCCAGCCTCTCCCGCAGCTCCGGGCCGCACATGTTGGCGCCGGCGGCAGCACCGTCTTCGGCCGGCTGCCAGCGGCCACCGGCGGCCAGCCGACCCTCCGAACAGCTGATGGCGCCCGTCGCGGCCGCCTCCGGCGCCGTATTTATAGCCGTCGGCGGCGGACGGGTGCCGTCCGGCCGCGTCGCCGGCGGCGGGCCCTCTGTCAGCGCTATGTCGAACCGTGTCGGCGGCGTTGTTGCGCGCGCGGCCGCCGGCGCTCCTGTGGCCGGCGGCCGGTGCGCCGTGCGTGGCCCGAGCGCCGCCGCCCCGCTCGGCCACGCACCGGCGGAGCGGCACCATTTAAACGGCACCACTGCTGCGGGGAGCGCGTGACTCATAGTGAGCGGCTCGTCTGCCCGCGGGGGAGCCGGCCAGCCGTGAAGGCCGGTCCAGGTGACACCGGCGCCGGCCGCCCCCGCCCCCGCCCCGGCCCCGGCCCGCAGCCGCAGGTGGCAGCGACCGGTGGATGCCAGATGGGTCAGACGCCGACGTCACAAAGGGCAGGTCACACCACCGGACAGCGCGCTGGCAGCTGGCCCCGTACGAGGTGACGGAGACGTTCGGTGTCCTGTTCTCCGACCGCGCTCCGAGCCAAGACCAGACGGCATCACGGATCAGCTGATATCACTCTGATGAACGGGTGGTTGACGAAGCCGGTCACATTGTCGGCAGAGGAGGCTCGGTGCTTTCTAAATCACAATAATCCACTTTCACTTCCTTTCCTTGCTCCCAGTTTCACGGCTGCGTCTCCTGCGGGTTTCCTCGCGGTCTTGCACTGGAGGCGGATCCTGCCGGGCTGCTGCAGTCCTCCACTCCCTGCCGCAGGCCCCCACTCACTGTCGCCCCGCTCTGCACAGAGCTGGTGACCTGTCAGTACCGCCGCCGGCGCGCGACTGCGCTACAATCACAGCTGCCGAGCCACAATCGCCTCAACTACCCCACCCCCACTGGACAAAGCCGGCGCCGGGAGCAGGCGCCGCCGATACACCGCTCGAGCACCCGCAGAGCACCAATGGAGCACTAACAGGACACCAATACAGCACTAATAGAGCACCACTCGACCGCCGCCATGACAGAGCTCCGCCGCGCCGCCGGCGGTTCCGGCCGCGCACTGGTCTCTCTTCCAGCAGAAGCCGTCGCTGGACGAGCGGCCCGTCATCGGATACGACACACCCACCCGCTGTGTTCCGGAACAGGGGTGCGGATTTCGACCGGAACCGGGTCAACGGCACAGCGCAGGGTGTTGGAAACTGGTCGGTGCTGGGGATAGGGTGTCACTGACGGCCGCTGAGAGCAGAGGAGAGGCGAAAGGATCGGGTGATCAAAGTATATCACTCCTTTGGCCGCAGTGTAGTTGAGCAGTTCCGTCTAAATTGATATTTAGTAAGCGTCTACACATTATTGATTGAATAATTTTGCAAAATACGTCACAGATTCCACATCTTTCCTTATCTCTGCAAATCTAGACGCGTGAAGTCACGACACTGGTCGCCGTCAGAGACGGAGGTCGACTGGTGTCCTCTCGTCCCTGAACCTCTCAGTTTGTCGCTGCTCCTCCGCCCTGGGAGGGGCGCGTAAAAACGCCATGACTCTTGTTGTGACGATCAGTGGGAAATTGAGCCAGGGTCGCGGTGTCCGTCGGGCGGCCGACGGGAGGGAGGCCCGAACCGCCAACGGTGGGCGGTACACTGACCCGCCCCCGCCCCCGCCCCGCCCCGCCGGCGGACACACGCTCCAGTGCCGCCCGCCACGCCACGTCGTTCCGCACGTGTCACGTGTGAACGCCCCTCCCCGCCCGCTACATTGCACCCCGCGGCGTGCTGGACTCCCGGGGAGGCAGAGGGAGGAGGGAAGGGACAGAGGACGGGAGCGAAGGGCGGCCACTCCCCGGCCGGGCAGGTGGTGAGTGGTTAGCGTGGATCATTGGCCTGTTGGGTGTCTGGATGAGCTGGGCGTGGCTAATGACCATCTAAAAGATGGCGCCGACCGCCGACAGAGGGGCGGAGACTGGTTCACGGTCGGGCAGAGGATGGGGTGGGGAGGGAGAAGGGAGAGAAGGAGGATAGAGGGGACGCGCAGTGGAGAGGTGAAGAGGGTCGGCCCCGGCTGGGCGGAAAACGGGGAGCCGGCCACCAATGGGGGATCAGGGAGGGTCAGTCCTGGCCGGACAGAGGGCGGGGCGGAGAGAGGGAGAGGAACGACCACCACACCAGTCGGGTAGAGGGGGAGGGTCGGAGCTGGCCGGGCAGAGGGCGGGCCGGAGAGAGGGAGAGGAACGACCCACCTACCCGCGGGGAGAGGGGAGGAGCCCAGTCACCTGCCGGGTAGAGGGGGAGGGTCGGAGCTGGCCGGGCAGAGGGCGGGGCGCCACTGACGGCGGAGGGTAGCGGACGGCGGTGGCCAGCGCCATCCGGTTTATTGTTGTACCCCTCATACAGCGTGACTTGAACCAGTCGGACAAACATTGTATTTCCAACGGAGGATGAAGGAAATAATAATAAAGAGCGTTTTACTTAATGACATAATAATGAGTGACGACGCCGATAAGAATCCGTTTATATTATAAACGTGTCAACGATAAATGAGCTTCCGACATGTGCCTCATGACTCATGTCAGACAGCCATTCATGCAATGGTATGTCCGACGTTGTCATTGACGACATACAGCGTTATACATAGTACCCATAACAAAAATGGTACAGACGGAAACTTCAATGAAGAACATAGTTATCTGTACAGGCTTGATCAACAGGTAAGCTAAAAATGTATGAAAGGCTCACTCAGTTGTAAATCGGCAGCTAGGAAAACAGGCTGTGCACCGCGCAGCATTGACACCACTCAATGTTTTAGAAACGTTTAACGCAAAAGCTGTTTGTTTTTACGTTCACTTGCTGTGACTTCCTCTGACATGTCTGCCAATCAACTCAGCCGGAACCAAAACAGCACGGCGGGAACAAGAGCGCCTAACAGTGCAAAAATAGCAGCACCGCCCGTCTCAAGCTATACAGGTGAGTATAAACAGTGCGGAAATAGCCAACACCGAAGGTATTCCGCACTGAGCAATGAGCATAGAGGCTCCCTAGTCGACCTTGTGTGTCGTGCCCATAGCCCACGGCCCGGCCCTCTCAATCAGCTGACCGGAACGGGGCGGGGTGAGCTCAGGGCTAAGCTGCGGGGATGGGAGGGCGAGTAGAACGCCAGAGTCCTGTGGCTGAGGTTAGTGACTAGCAGTCAGGCAGTGCCACTCAGTCCAGCAAGTGCATATACTTCCTCTGAGCTGTCGCTGTCCAGTTCACCTGTCATTTGCCAGTTTACTGCAATCCAATGTAACCATGCCCATTCCCGCTCAGTATACCGCCGGCACAGAGTAATCCTGGCCGCCACGCCCGGCTGACGGCCCGCGCGCCATGAGTCAATGAGTCACTGGGTCACTGAGTCAGGGCCGCGACTCTGACCCGCCGGGTGACCGCCGCCCACGGCACGGCCGGGGTCTGACGGTGGCGAACGGGACTGGCACAGATCCAGGCCCGTCTCCAACACCTCGGTATTCCGCTCACGGAGCAGAGCGGGCCGATCTGCTCTCAGTAGTGCCAGTTTCCGTTTGTTTTAATTTTGGTCATTTCGGCAGAAAAGACCATTTCATGCCCTGCCCTGAATATGAAGATGCGGCACCGTCAATACCAGACCAATCTGACTCCAGTGATCCTATCTGTCCCCTGGCCTGAGTAAAGCACATGGATGGACAACGGTCCGAAATAAACACAGCGGCGTATACCTATTGCAGGGGCCAGAAACTCAACTGGCATTTTCCAGTGACTGCAGTGACATTTTCGATCAGCATTTGGCAGTGACCCACATCGAAAACCACCCACCGCTCCAGCCGCAGTCCAAAGCAAACCGGACGCCAGTGACGGGGGCGCGACTCAGAGGGGTGAACCGCGGGAACAACAGAATCAGCGAATACAGTCCTGAATCCTGAATCCTGAGAGGAGCACGCAGCTAAACGGACGAAACGGAGCGATTTATTCTAGAATTATTAGACTGATTATGTTTATGTAGATGTTTGGATGCATGGGATCACCTGTGTAAGTTATTGTATGCTGGGCGGCAGAAAGATAGGTTTATCAAAATCAAAAGTTTTTAATGACAGAATTGAAGTTGTTGCCTTCAATCAATCTAAGCCCTGCTCTTGAACAGAATCGGCACCTAAACAGAAAATATGCATCCGCTGAACCCACCGGCGACAGCAGGTGATTGAAATGTGAAAAATTGGAAATCCGTGATTGGATGGATGCCGTCAGTCGGAATCCCAACAATAAACTTGCTGTTAGGCCAAAGGCAGCGTCTCCATTTGGTAGGTGTATTGGAGCTTCCACAAGCAGTAGCGGCAGCAGCAGCAGCACAGCAGCACCCGCGCGTGGCGGCTCCCCGGCTCCGAATGACCGCCCGCCCGGGGCCGTGGCGCGACCTCGCGCCGCCGCGCCGGTCGCAGTGGCGCGCTCAGCGAGAGGCCGCTCAGAGGCGGACCCAGCGGGAGGGGGCGCCACACTTTGCCCAGAACATGTACGGAAATAACCCAACACACCTCCCCCCATAAAGCTTTGGCATACAAGCTGCGAATAAAACATGCACAGCCTGAATATACACTCTTGCGTACTGTTCGCTCTCCACTTAACTAACTTAACATTTATACGTATTGCATACAATTACTGGACTGAACCGCCACGGCCGACAGTAAATGACAATTTAATCGAAGGTCCCGGCATCGACGAATCGAGTAGCATCGGGCCTCGTTAATCGGCCTCGCCACTCGGGATAGCGTCCGCTGACGCCTATAGCGCTGCCGCAGAATGCTGAGCCGCGTTGGGAGCCTCCGTCCGGACCTGCGGTTCGTCCACTGCAGCGAGCCCGTGGCCGAGTGAACAGCTGCATCAGCACGTCAGGGTCGTCTGGCGCGTGACGCGGCTCATGCCTGGCGGTATGCGAAATATCAGCGTATCAAAACATGTACAACATTTAATACATGGACAATGACTTTTTTGTAACACTTGGATCGCATTGCAATAATCTTGAGCTCTAAAATCGATACTTAGTTAGGGTATCTCACTGGTGGCTTTGACACCCGTCCAGACTGTGTCACATATCCGACCGGTGACTGTAACGGCCGATCTACGCCTGTCTCATTGGGCACTCTTAAGAAAATGGGAGGTGGTATACTCTCCTTAGATATGATGTCGGTGTCCGGCGGCGTGTGCACCGTGTCCTCTGGCTTCCTCCCTCGTCGATCGTATGTAGCTGGTTCTTCTGCAGCGTCGTCTCTCTTCCGCACCTTGACAGGTTTCAGGTGATTGTG